CCGATTATTTGGGTTAGATTGTACAACCTTACGACACTTGCAACTAACACACACGCATCAATTGAGTATCGCTTGCTACTCGAAGAAATCTAAGAACAATTACGTATTCAAAAATTCCTCTAGCATAACGAGTTCAAATCAGAAAAAGCAAGGGATCCAACTCACAAATTCCAACTTAAAATGTATATGACTGAAATTCAAAGACTATACAAATGCATTCAATCAATTGTGAAACAAAATTGAGTCTCAACTCATCCAAATTTCAAGTCGATTATAAACCCATTACTAGAATAAAAGAAATTAGCTACGCATAATCGAGTACTTACAAAATACTTGTAAAATTAGAATTTAGGAAGAACCTGGAAAACTCGTTCCAAAATCGACTCTATATCGACAGCCTTTTCAATCGACTGCCTGTTGTCTCCTCCCGATTCCTCAATTTACAGCATTTCGATTTACAGCCTCTCCTTTCTCTTTTTCCCTCAATCGACCAACTGCTTGCTGCTGTCCTCTTTCTCCCCTCTGCTGCTTCCCTCGCTTGGATAACCTGCTGTCCTCGACAGCTTCTTCTTCTCCTCGGCTGCTCGATGACAGCCCCTTTGCTGTCCTTCTTAACCAACCTGCTGCTGTCCTCTTCGATCACAGCCTCTATATCGACAGCCCCAATCGAACAGAACCCTTCCATAGACTACTTTCAATCGACAGCCTTTTTTTTCTCTCTCGATGACAGCCCCTCTTCGATAGACTGCCGTCCTCTTTGTATCGACAGCCTCTATCGACCGGTTCTGCTGTCTCTCTCGACCTGCTGCCTTCTTCTCGAGCCCCTTCCTCCAATCGAACAGCCTCTTAGCTCCAATCGAACAGCCCCCTTCGATCGATTCTGCTGCCTTCGACCGGTTCTGTCCAACCGAGCCAGAAATCGACAGCCCTCTTCTTTTTTTTGTTTTCAATCCAATCGAACCCTTCTCCCTCCATCGAGTTTCCTGCTCCTTTATCGCTCGTTCCTTGCCCACGTTCGCTGATTGCACGATGTCCGTCTCTATCGCACTTCTCAATCAACCACGATCCTCGCCTCTCTTTCTCTCGCTCGATGGTCTGGGCAGCAGCCCATTCTTTTCTTTTCTTTTTTTCTTTTCTTTTTTTACACGGCTTGGGATGGCTGTTGTTTGGGCTTCTTTTTGGCTGTGCAGCAAGACTGTTTTTGGGCTTGATGCTGATGAAAAAAACAAAACAAAACACAACAATCAATTCTCTTTTTTTTCAACTTAAATGGTTACATAAGATTAAATATCATCTTAAATTAAAATGGCTATTTTAAACATCTAAATGACATTAATTGCAAGGTAACTTTGATATAAAAATATATAAAATTTGCACTTATCAAATTCCCCCACACTTAGATCATTGTCCATCCCGGCAATGACTTAAGTAAACACGTAGTTATAAAAATCGAATCTAACGAGAATGTCAACACATATAGCATATCATGAGTTTGAGATTTGCTTTAAAGCATTGAAAAGAGGATGCGCACGCAATCAAGTAGACACAAGCTAATCTCGAGAACTCTCACGAATGAGATTAACAAAGCAACACTCGATTCACTCCTTGGGTTAAAGTGTATCGCTCAAATCGTCAATGTCTAGCATTTTGACACCCTATACTTAGATTTAAAAAAAAGAATTTCTGGCAAAAATTCGGCATGACCCGTACGAAAAGTCGTGTTTTGCCATTTTTTTTTCCTGTAAACATTGCAAAAAAAATGATTGCAAAATAACTGACCATACAAAAGCTATGATTACTAACTAGTCTTTATAAAGACGACTATTTACAAGGTATAAAACTTTCATATTCTTCCAAAAATACATTTTCCCAAACTTAATTAAGCTTCCAAAAGTCCCAAGCATTGCATCATCCT